CTTTTAGATCCAAAGCAATATAAGTTGTCCTCAGCTTGCTATTGATATAAACCTTGTTAAAAGTTCCTTGGTGATGAATATTATCAGAACTCTTGATCATTTAGTATTGTGGGATTCAGCAGACCAATCAAAAAGTTGCTGTATGAATGAAGTGTTTGAATAGATCAGAAACCTAATCCCTCTGGAAGAGATGAAAACCACACTTGTACAAGTTTCATCAAAAGCAGTGCCTGTAGGCATCAACTGAATGTGTTCTTAGGAAGGGATTTGCTGCCTATATACCATTCTACTATAAATATTCACCGCTACTAGTCACTAGTTAGCAGTGGCAAAACATTTCAAAAACAAAGAGGTACACGTTTAAACTAGAGTGCAGGAAAACATAAAACAGCTAATCATGAGAGACAGATTGGGTAGGGAGAAGCTTAGAGGTTTAATTTTAGAAATCTTAGTGATGCTAGGACCAAGATTACTGAGGAGAAGCCATTTATGCAGGAAAGCACATAAAATCCTGCACATTGGGATGAAGTATTGGAAGTATTGCAGCTCGCCTGCAAGGAAAGAATTGTTACTTTACCTGTGTCTCCAGGAAGGTTTTTATTTTAGAAAAAGCTTTAAAAACTTACTTCTTTCTTATTTCTCACTTAATACTTTCATTAAATATATACTCTAGAGCCAGTTCTTTTATCATCGTGAAGGTGCCAATCTTGAAACCAGGTCACTTTGAGTTGTAGTAACATCTTAGATACAAAAGCCACCGGGCAATATGGAGCCAGTCACTCTCTCAACCCAATTCACCTCACAGGATAGTTGTGATAGAGAAAACAGAAGCTAGAAGTATAGCTATGTTTGCTGCCTTGACTCATTTATGAAAAGACAGGATGGAAATATAATAATAACAATAACAGTAAGAATCAAAATACTTGAATAAGTCACTGTGCAGTGATAAAAAGAGGATAAAAAGACGTTTAGTCTGATTTTACAGTATAAGATCGAAGATGTCAAATCAACATCTCTCCATTCTCTCACAGCTACCACAGATTGTAAGCAGAAGAAATAAAGGCCTTTTATTCCCCCTTCGCTCATTGTCACTCTCTGTTCTTTCTTTAGATCCAGGGCAAAAATCCCAACAACATTTAATAAGTTCATCTCTGATGCTAGCACAGACTAAAGCAAAGAAATTGAACTGAGAATATTCTGAATTTTGGGGGTGCCTTACTTTTTTTTATCCCTTTTTTCAGCAAAGGGCTGTGATTATGTCCGTATAGAAAATGGAAGAATGACTGACTATTTGGAACGGAACAAACCATTTCCAAAATGGGAGAGACAAACAATTGACTTTCGTTGTGATGATGGTTTTGTGCCTGCGAACCAGCGAACATGGCAAAGGGCTACATGCATCAATTCCCGCTTTGTCCCAGAACCAAAGTGTTTCAGTAAGTAACTGTTTCCCTTTGCAGTAGATGTTGCCAAGTATAAACAGAACAGGCCAGGGAGATGCTATCCTGACCTTGCTTTAACCTTGAAGAAGTAGCATCCTAAAAAGAGTTCAGCCTGTTCTCGGGTTGCTCTGCCTGCTAGGGTGATGCTTCCAATGATGTCTCTTCTCAAGGGACCCTAAAGGCTGTTTTGGAGCCCACAGTTTGCAAACCTTAAATGTGAGAGGTAAAAGGTTAGTCTTCGATAAAATATAAACAGAAAAATAGGATTCTTCCTCATCAGCTTCTCTTCACACCTTGTCTTCTCTGTGAACTAGATATCATTTGTAGTATAAATTGCCTTCCAAGAACCATCAATGATGGAACTAAGTTGCTCTTTTTTGCTTTTAGAAATATGTGATCCTTTTATACGTTTTGATCATGGTCACTTCATTACTACATATTATCACCATTACTACATATTAGAAGGTAACAACATTACATTTGTTTGTGATAAGGGATATTCTCCTGCAAACCAACGATCAATAATTACTTGCACCAAAAAGGGGTGGTCACCTGCTCCAGAATGTATCCTGCCAGGTAAGCATTAGGAATGTCAGCTAAAATTGCCTGACCTGAAATTACTTATCATGCTTTGCTCTCTCTCTCTCTCTCTCTCTCTCTCTCTCTCTCTCTCTCTCTCTCGTGTTGAAAGTAGTATTTCACAATGGATTTATAATTGAGAGTTTGTGATAATTTAGCAGCAGAGATGATAAGAGATTCACATTTCCACAGGGAATTGTGCTGTGACTGGGGGTAAAGTTATGTATAGGTGTTTATTTATGTGCATATTGTTGTACCTATCATTTGCTT